TTGCCTCGCCCCGGATCTGTTGGGGGAATGGCTAGCCAGGACACCACCTGCTTTTCCTGAGTCTGCCGCCTTCCTCCTGGCCTCTGCTTACTCTCGTGCCCAGATACATCGAGGGATTGGAGGGCAGGGAAAGGCAGAGAAGGCCAGCAAAATGAACTGGGCTGTGCCCAAGAGGTGGGGAGCCAGCAGCAAAAGTCCCATGGCAGTCACTAGCACCAGCTCCGCTCTTCCCCGCCTGATACCACGCTTTGCGTTTCACCAAGAGTCCCTGGCCCAGCTGTGACACAGGTGTTGGCTCGTCTTCACAGGTAAGCTTTCCACTGTCGGCCCCCACGGGGACCGGAACCAGCTCAGACGCCCCAGAGACCAGACTAGTTGCTGGCGGTGTTGCGAAAGAGCCGAATGGGCTTGGAGGGCAGGCTAAGCATAGAGACGATTAAGCAATTCAGTGACGGAAGCAAGCCAAGAACACGGATTACCTCATTCTCAGTCTAAAGGTAACTCGCTGGAAGATGGTGAGGTGGGCCCTTTCCCACCTAGATGTTCTGTCGATGAGCGAAGTGGGAGCAAGCACAGAAACAAGATTGTACCCGCTCATCCTCTGGGCTTAAGTGAAAAATGGCAGCAGCAGCAGAAGCTGGGAGAACTTTTAAGAGTGAGAAACAAAGAACACAAGTCAATCTGTAGCACCTGCTGGGGACCACTGACCCGCCCTCCCTCCCCCCAAGTTCAAGTTTGATGGCTGCACAAAGCAGCAGCAGCTTATGCAGTGACCATTCCGAGAGCAATGATGGAAACAGGAGCCACTAGCAGAGAGAGAGAGAGAGAGAGAATTCCTAAGTGCAGGAAGGTGACCGGACTAGCAGCTCAGAAGCCACAGCTTACTGCCAGACTGCATATATACACACAGCAGTCTGGTGATGCAGCAGTTACGCGTTGGGCTGCTAACTGCAAGGTCAGCAGTTCGAAAACACCAGGTGCTCCACAGGAGAAAGATGTCTTTCGACTCCCATAGTTACAGTGTGGGGGGGTTACCCGCTTGTGTGTGTGTGCATGCACATACACAAAACCCAAACTCACTGCCACGGAGTCGACTGCCACTCCTCATCACCCCGGAGGACAGACTCTCTGGCCCTGTGGATTTCTGAGGTTGTAACTCCTTATGGGAGCAGAAAGGTTCCTTTCTCTCCTGCAGAGGGGCCGGGAGTTTCAAACTGCTGGCCTTGCAGCTCAACAGGCAACCCACTCTACCACCAGGGCTCCTGCATCAATAAATACAGAACATGGTGACAGACAGGACCGAATGAACAGATAATGAAGCATTCGCACAGCATTTTTAAAGCCCCTGGGTGCTGTTGTTGGGTGCCATCTAGTAGGTTCTGACCCACAGCAACCCTATGCACAACAGAAGCTCTCTCTCAGACAAGCAAAACGGCAGCTCGGAGGACCCAGGGAGAAGAGTCTGAGAAGTGAAAAGCACAGCTAACACGTATATGACACACGGCTGTATACACACAGCATACATGCCCTATACTAAACAAATGCATGGAGAAGGGTGGGCATAAAGCAGAAGTGGGGCTCTCACATGTCGGGCTGGACTGGCCTGCTCCCAAGGGGAGGGCCTGGACAGCACCTGGTCTGCTCATGAGTGTGCAGGACCGGCTGCTTCTCCTTGTGATAGATAAGGGCCCCATGAGTCACAGCAGCTACCAAGGCTGGGAAGGCAAGCTGACAAACGTCTTACTTCTATGAGCCCTGAGTTTCACTGAAGGAGCCCTGGTGGTACAGTGGTTTGCACACTCCACTGCTAACTGAAAGGCTGGTGGTTCGAATACATCGCTCCTCAGTGGGAGAAAGAGATGAGTTGGGTTCTGTAAGGATTGACAGCCTTGGAAACCCTAGGGGGACAGTTCTATACTGTCCCACGGGGTTGCCTGAATCAGAATCGACTCAACAGACTTTTGTTTTTGTTCTGTTTTAAGTCCCTGGGGGAAATGGTAAAAGGGACCTTGGAACCAATTGACAGTGAAGCCACCTGCACAGGGAAGTTCCAACTTTCAAAATGGAAAGACAGCGGCTGCCCTAACTCTAGGCAGATTGGGGCTTCAGGGTACAGGTGGTAGAGTGCCGGTGGTGGCACCAGGGACATAACAAATGGGCACTAATACAGTGCCCGGTCTGGGGGACGTACTTTCCATCATGATGCTAGCTAGGTTATGGTGCTCAGAGGCCCGGCAGGTGAGGAAGTCCCTGAGAAGCAGCTGTCTGGAATCTTGAGAGGATGGCCAGCAAGGAGCGCAGCTCAGGGGTGGGGAGCGCAGCTGGAGGGTCAGGGTTAAGGTTAGTGGCACTTAGCAGCCCTGATGTTCAACCAGTTGAATCTGGAGCAAAGAAATCAAAATCAAGCCTACCGCCATCGAACCAAAGAAATCAAAACCAAGCCTACTGCCGTCGAGCCAATTCTGACTCCCCTTACCCCATAGGGCAGGGCCGAACTGCAGCCCAGCTTTTCCGAGGCTGTAAATCTTTCTGGCGGAAGCAGACTATTACAACTTTCTCACAGCGCGGCGGCGGAAGAATTTGGGCCTTTCAGTTAGTTAATGCCACCAGGACTCTGCTGAGAGGTCAGTCTCCTGCAGATATGGCATCAAGGATAGGGGCATTGGTTTTGAGGGGATAGAGTGAGGGCTGGGCCTCATGGAACAAGACTGGCTAGGGACACCCCAAACAGGGCGCTCCTGGGCTCTCAGCCTGAAGCGGGAGCTGGACGGCCATCTCCCCTCACACGTTAAACAGGTGACCTGGCGGGTACTGCGAGCCTGCCCTACTGTTAACAGTCTGAGACGGATTTTAAAGTGGGGCCCACACCAGGTAAAGCCCTGATGCTTTCAGGTGCGCAAGCACGCTGGGCAGTAGCGCTTATAGAACCAGGCGGTGCACCTGGTACCTATGGGGCCCTTCAAGGGAAGCAGGGAGGGCACACTCCACAGGCCCAAGATCTGCGCTCCTCAGCAGGCGCTGGCAAGCTCTTGCTCTCTCCATACACACCAACACAAAGCTTTTTGTAATGTTGGCTTTTTCCAAACTCCAGAACTACTGTCAAGAAAGTCGAGCAAAATCTGGCAATATCTGAATGCTTTCTGAGGAGCCCTGGTGGTGTTCAACCTTCTCCATTGCTGCGCGGAGCTGTTCACCGCTAGCTAGGGTAACAGTTCAAAACCACCAGCTGCTCCTCGGGAGAAACTTGAGGCTTTCCAACTCTGGGTGAGCAGTTACAGTCTCAGAAGCCCACAGGGGCGGCTGTACTCTGTCAAACATGAGTCAGAATAGACTCCACCACAGTGAGACTGGTTTGGGTTCGGGATGCTTCTTGAAAGTATAACTAAGACAGCTAAGAGAAAGATTCCCTGGGTATCTCACTTCACCTCTAGCCGGTGGGTGGATTTTGACTCGCAGTCCCCCTCGAGGACAGAGTAGAGCTGCCCCACTGGGACCCCAAGGCTGTAAATCTAGGAACCCTGGTGGCATACACTGGGCTGCTATGCGCAAGGTCAGAAGTTCTAAACCACCAGCAGTTCCTACCCACTAGCCTGGTGGTATGGACACAGATAAGGCTTTCTACTTTCATCAACCGTCTCAGAAACCCAGGGGCAATTCTACTCTGTCCTACAGGGTCGCTATGAGTCAGAATGGCTTCGATACTGATGAGTAGCTTGACCTAAATGGACTGCCACCTGTTTCTCCCACAAAGCAGCTGGTGGGTTCAAGTTGAGAGACCTTTAGATTTGCAGCCAAGCTGTGTGCCACCCCGGCTCTCTCTAATCTTCTTCTGGGTGAACAGTTACAGTCTCAGTGTAAACTGTGCCAGTTTAGAAAGTAAATACTCTGGCAAGCAGGTGCTCAACTGACAACTAAAGCAAATAGAGAGAGAGAGAGAGAGTTGTAAAGTGGCTGGATAGAAAGGACTTGGCAGTTTGTGCTTAATTCTTTCAAGGATATGAAACCTCTTCAACATGTAACCTGGGTCTAGTCCTGAGAATGAACAAATCACAGAGGTTTTGACTTGATCAGCCTTATAGTCCCTAAATAACCCCTCCTTTGAATCCCTAGCCTGGTCACCCATGCAGTCAATCTTACAGCCTATCCAGTTGCTTTCTACCTCCATAAGGAGAAGTAGTGTTAGAAACTAACAGGGGGAGTTCTACCCTATCCTACAGGGTCATTATGAGTTGCCATTAACTTGATGAGTGTTTTCTGTTTGTTTGTTTGTTATCCAGTTATTTGCATAAACCATAGAAACTACCTGTTACTACAGTCTCTATTTTGAATGCCAGAAGCCTTTTGTTTTTCACGTTGGAAGTTCAATGGAGTTGTACTTCAACTGCTTTCAAAACCTGAATTATGTAAGGATTTAAAAACCCTGCCACCTTCCTGAAGTCAGTAAGACGAGACATCTCAAAGCCGTCCCTTTCCTTTTAAAGCCGAATGCAGTTACCGGAAAAAGAAAAATGGTAAAGGAATAATAAACCACTTTCAAAACAGGGCAAAGATCCTAAAAGGAACTGTCATGTTCTAATAATACGCCCAATACCAATCATTCAAACAGGGCTCCTAAAGACGAGTTTTCTTACGTTGCTTACTATTGTGTTACATATATCTATTTGTAAGCGACTTTAAGTTTCGGTTTAGCAAGAGGAGGCTGTCAGCTCCCCGTGAAGATTTGCAGCGGCGGCGAGCCTCCAGGGGGTCGCTATGTGCCAGCATCTGATGGCAGCGAGTTCGGTCGGCTGGTTTGAATGTTTCAAGTTTCGCTGGCGGAAAAGTTCACGGGTCACCTTTGGCGGGGCGCTGTACCGATTTCAGCCCTGGGGCAGGCGAGCGAAGTCGGCCGTGCTCACCACGCTGCCCGCCGCGGCTGGGGAACCCGTCCTCGGAGGGCATGCTAACAGGTTTCTATGACTCAAGTTCGCTTAAAATACACACGCACCCCAAAAAGTCACCTTGGCCGGGATGCACGCAGGGGATGGCCGCGCTCGGAGACGCGCGCCGGCGGCAGGAGGGCAGCAGCGTTGTGCGTGGGGGCGTCATTGGTCTTGGGGGAACAAGCACCTCTCCGAAGCAGCCGGGACGGGGCGCGCGGGGCCG